GGTCCTGGAGTCTAAGCTCCAACAGCTCACAGCCCAAGCCCTGTGAGTACAAGTCAGCTGGCATGGGCCAGTCATGGTTTTTAGTTGCAATATAGATGACATCCTCAGCCTCTACCACCAAGACAATATCTTGAATGGATTTTAATAAAGCAGTTAATCCTTCCCTATTTATTACCTGGACAATACTTCCAATAGCATTCGTTAACTTTTCAGAAAGAAAACAAGTGTGCTTTATAGCATCCAAAGAAGGCCAGATGTAGGATGGAGTGTCAACCCCTCCTCTTCCAAAGCTGGGAAAATGTTCATGTACACAAATATTTTAATACAGATAGCAAAATATTGTACAAAGCTAACTTTCCATAAGTTTAAAAAAGTATTAAGCTTCCTTTGTTCTCCCTCCCTTTTCATCTGATTTCTTACTTTCCCCTCTAACTTGCTGAATTTTTTCCCCAGTCTTTTTCCATGTTTTCCCTGAGGCTAATATTTCTTTCCATTCCCTTTTCCTGATTTGGCCTCCTCCTCTCCCCATTTTGTCCCTATTTTCATGCAATTACCTCTCCCCTCTATTTTTACCACACAAAGTCCTACCACACAAACTCTATTTCTAACCCCAGCCCTCCTAAGTATTAAAGGCTTATTGGATGATACAATTAATTTGCAGATTTCACCCTCTAAATGTGTGTGAGATGACAGTCAGTTTTGGATGAAGCTTTTCCAGTGGAACAGGTCAGGTAATTTTGTAGTGGTTAGAGGATGGAAGTAAATTTAAGATTGGAGGTAATAAGAAAAAAACCCGCTACAATATCTGGAAATACTGAAGTAACATTTTCTGAGCTGCAGAATCCAATCTAAGCCTGGTAATTGCCAACATACATTTTGTTTTTTCAACTGTTGGATGTAAATGCGTCAATATTTCAGAATCAGGAAACAAACAAAAATCAAAGACTTTTGCTTTCTTTGAATGCAAGCCATGTCTTCAAAAAAGAGGAAGTTTGTTCAGAATTAGTTTTCAATCTCTGATTTTAATAGAGTCAGGATTTTTTTCTTTAGGCCTATAGTTAAACAGAAATTAGTCAATTTACTAAAGGTATACTTTATTAGAGGGTAAAAATGTCCAGTTAAGGAAGGTCGATCTATGAGCACATTGCATGAATATGGTTTAAGCTTTCTGCAAAAGAGGGAGGTGTAAGATATCACCAAGCTACTCAATAATGTGAAGATATCCAAGGGAAAATAGTACTACAGTGCAAATCCACTTTTAATAGTGGCTAACAGTAATAACTACAGCCTCACATGCTTTATGCAACAGTGACCCTGATTTAATACTAAATTTAAAAACTATATTATCGCCCATGAAATGAACCAACATTTTACAAATCAATACAATGGGGAGTCAGAGGAAACAATCACATTAATTCAGAGATCTATGAGGACATTAGAAAGGACGCTGTAGGTCAGACTATGGAGGACTGTTCAGCTCTTTTCTCACATATTTCTCCATATCTAAAACCTATAAAAAGCTATTTTTCCTTAGTGAAATTGAGTTTCAGCAAAGCTTAAGATATCTGTGATCTAGCCTGTCACAGCAGAAATGTTTGAGCATGGTAACACAGCCTCTCAGACTAAAATTTTACGACTGTTTGTGATGGAACTGGTTCACTTCTGACTCAATCAGCAATTTACTCTTGTCAATGAAATTGTGTTGTAGCAGTATTTCCATCTAAGTTACATTTTTAAAGAGCAATATGAATTCTGTTGTACAATAAAATATCTAATACAAAGACAGCTTCTCAGGCATCTACGGAACACCTAAAGTGAACTATACATGGGTGCAGTTACTGCTTCTTAAAGTAAGTCATTGTGCATTACATTTTTGTATATTATTATTCAAATGTTATTTATAATTTATTCTGACAAATCTAAGATTTAAATCAACAATTTTGAAACAGAATAGCTATCAAAAAGAAATTTTACATACTCCTTTAATGATTAGATAGAAATCTAAAACACTAGCTTTCCATTGCTAAGTAAATACTATAATAGTCATCCAGTTTTGTTCTATTCTTGGCAGCCCATGGCCACTAGGGGCCTTGATCCACCTGATTGCAAATTAGTGCAGCCTCAGGGCTACTGTAACTGAAAATAAGGAAACACAAATATTGCTTAAAGGCAGGTTTGTCCCCCATCTCTGTGCCAAACATTGGAACAAAGTAATCGAGAAACAGGGTCTTTGCAGTACTATTTTAATTATTGCCTGAATACATAAATGGATACAAATTGGGAATTCATGTTGGATTCAAAGCTCTCATGGTAAATTTTTGTTTTGGTCAGATGGTCTTTCTAGGGCACAGTCCAGAGATGCGAGAGATCTGGATTGTATTCCTATCTCTGCCACACTTTGTGACCTGAGGCAAGTTTAATCATTTTCTACCTTGCTTTCCCGATTGGTAATATGAGGATAAAAATATTCTCCTGCCTCACAAGTATGAAGATATTTCACTGTGTGTTATGCATTATAACTTGCACAGTAATTCTGCAAGATACTTTTTTGTGAAATTATTCTAGAGATTCAGGGGACTTGAATTTGGAATGAAGAATGAGTTTTTCCGATCAGATGAGGGGAGAATTATTCCAGTGTGACTTTGTGAAATGTATACTTTACCATGGAACACAGAGATGGAAAAGACTCATTTGCAGTGCTTGAGTCCTGCTGGAATACTCTGGGATACTGTTCCACCACTTTTCTGGTGAGTGGAAACGGCGCATTACGGCAGTTCCAGTACTTGTGTTCCAGCACTTCTTGAGTGAAGCACTCACCCACCTCTCATTTGGTCAACTTGTCCATCTTGTGGCCAACTCAGGAAAATTTCCTGCAGCATATTCTCAAATGCTTGATCCATTTCCAGTCTAGATGATTAATGCAATGGGGCTTTCTCCATTTCCCTTGGAAGATAATGAAGGGTCTACAGACTTTGCTCTTAGGAAATTTTTCCTGCTATTCTTTTAGTTGGATGATATCACTTATCGGTGTATCTATTTTGAACACCTTTAAATAATTTATTTTACCTTGTTTTTATACCCATCTAACTGTACTGGTAGACTGTGTCATCCTACTTAATCACTGCAAGATGACATATATTTTAATCTTTCCAGACAAGTCATTCATTCTTGTTCTGAATTTCTTCCATGTTGTTGAATTATTGTTATAAAGTGTTGTAAAAATATTTTTACAAGGAGTTTGGACAGACAGTCTTTCAAAGGTGTGAAATGATGAAAGGCAATTATATTTGGACCTAACCTGCATTCGTCCATATTATTTTAATCCTGTTCATGCATTAGAGTAATGAATTGATTCAATTTTTTGCTATCACTATCTTGCTTCTCTTCAGACATTGCCTTGCTATCCTATTGGAGAGAAATTGTTATGAAGGAAGTGATTTTCATATGTTGATTAACTAATATTTGTCAGCTTGAGGTTGTAATAGTCAAAATTATGAACTGTGTTAAGCAAGAACATGTAGGGCAGGAGAAGGATAAATTGCTCTTTAAAAGCATTACAAATATGATACAGTATTGCTATGCCACATTTTAAATGTCTTTTAGAAAGCAGCCCCTCACTGGTATTCTTTGATGTACATGGGGGAGGGAAATTTTTTTTAACAAAAGTTTCTATTTATAGACTTATTTGACTCTCTCCCACTCCCAAAAATACACTCTTGCCTAACAAGCTTCTTTCCATTTGTTTTACTCTTTCCCCCACCCAGTGGCAATATGGCAGTGATCTAGGAGACAGCTGATTAGTCAGATATAACTCACTGATGAGGACACTTGAGAGACTGCAGTGAGTTCAAAAGACAACTGAGTTTATTGTGGAGATAGCAGCAGCATCCCACAAATCTATAGCTGTAACTATAGTACATACTCATAGCCAGGGCTGGCTCTAGGTTTTTTGCCGCCCCAAGCAAAAAATTTGCCACCCCAAGCTCCGAGAGCGCAACTGCCTAAGCAAAAAAAAGGCCAGAATGCCACCCCTGGAATTGTGCCACCCCAAGCAAGTGCTTGCTTTGCTGGTGCTGAGAGCCGGTCCTGCTCATAGCAAATTTAAAGTCTATTATAGCTATCTACTCTATTTGCCTGAGAGGACAATGCCCTTTTTGACATTAATGTTGGTGTTAATGAAGGAGAAAGCTTTTTTTAGTAAAAGATATATGGACTTCACAAATTTTAAAACTGATAAAAGGTATAAAAATGAATGAAAGGAATGACGGTACACTGAAATAAAACTGAAAACAGAAAATGAGTGTGTTCTTGAATGTTTGACTCAACAAAATTATGACACTGTTTAAAAGGCTCTCTCTCAGTCCCACATATATATTTATATGTTGATATCTCTCTATGAGGCTGAAAATTGTGTAGTAGATTAAGCTACTGCGTAGTCACTTTAAAAGTACAGTGGGTCCACAGTCCCCTTAGGATTCTGTTAAGTCCTGACTATAGAGCTTGCAGCCATCGTGTTAAGAGAGTCCTTCCTGCAGATGCTTTCACAGTTTCAAGAAGCTTTGTTTTATTACTAAAAACATACTTGAATGTTTCCTATATTCAAATATAGCTTGATAACCGACAATACAATTTTAAATACTTAATAAAAATGAAAAAAAAAGACAAAACTCCTCACTTAATAGCTTCTCTCCTCAAATAGAGGAACTAAAACAATGATTGGAAGGTTTTCATAATTCCTTCAGGAGCCTGAACCATCTTGCACTTAGTTCCTACAGTACTGTGTCACTTTTAAAACAATTTCTCCTTTTGACATTTTGAAATTATATCCCCTCAAACAAAATCTATGAGTACATTAAAGTACAGCCAGAGACATTGTTTAATTAATCTTTTTTAAAAAAGAAGAATATCCAGGTAAATAAAAGACCAATCCTGGTCCTTAAAATGCATGTATTTTGATATTAGGTCCCAACTAAACGGCAGCTTCTCTTTCTTGTTCCCAGAGTTCTGCTTGACTTAGCTCATCCTGCAGTATTCCAGAAGTGAATCTACTCTCTGTTCACCCAGAGGATCCCACCCCTCTTTCCCTCCTGAGTGAAATGAATGAATGAATCTTCCCCACAAAATAAGCCAGATAACAATTTCATGTTACAGCCTTTCTGACTGAACAATCAAGCTATCACTCTGAGACTGGAGAAAAAAGAGAAGCTTCCACTTTCACTCTAAGTCCCTGTCTACATGAAGAGATTCTGATCTTCCCCATGTAATATACATTTGCTTAACTAAGGGTTAACTAGTTATTGCTCAACAGTTCCATGTGGGAGAACTCTGGTTGAGGTCCTGATCCCATCCTCCTGTGGAGACAACAGCTGAGTGGGGAAGGCTGTTTTATTGTTTATTGGCAGTAATGACTTTGATCAATTAAGGAAAGGCGCTGATGGAATTTCAAGGGAATCTGATGAAATATTTATTGGCTGGACGGTTGAATACAATAAGAATCTTTGCAGAAGTCAAAATGCATGCTAGAAGGTGAAGGATGATGCAGAAGAATGGTCTGCTCAACTACTGGGCTGAAGAAACAGGAAAGGGCAAAATTAGGAAACGTATACTTAGATGTGGTGTTTACAGCGAAATGAGTTTCAACAGCATTCTACCTGAAGTGATACAACTTTCTGACTGTCATACTGCATTTCAATAAAGATCTGTTTTTGAAACTGTAAACACTTCCAAACGGAATGTTTTTTAAAACAACAAAAATTTTAAATGAGGCATCCTTGAGTCAAACAGTAGCCCAAATTTAGACATGTTGACGAGGAATGTGATGGGAACGGAGGGGACAAGGAAGAATAGTGCGTATAAGTAGAAGGGGAGGTCTAGTTAATACAACCGTAAAATAAAAAAATTCCCAACCTTTTTCTGCTATTTTCTCATGTCTTTTGAGATGAGCTATTTTATAAAATAGATGGATATATTTAATAAATATAATAAAATCAAGTAAAAGCTTCATTTCACTTTTCTAAATACCAAGAGCCACTCTGTAATAAGAAAAATACATGCCAGACAGCACATTTCTCTGGGATAGCTAATCACATATTAGGTGATTGAAAGCCTTCTGGCCCCATACCTCACCATTTACTCAGGTTTCCAGTAATCTCCTGGAAATGCACAACCTGTCATTGTTTTATTGCTTAATTAGCTACTTGTCAAAAAGTAACACTATATACATTCATTTCTGGGTTTTTCCCACATACTCACTTACTTTTTATTGGGATAATGAGCTGAGGAATGACAGGGAGAATCTTGTTTCCCCCATGTTCCAGCATGTCGTGGATTCCTTGCCGAGCAAAAAACTCATAGGGAAATGTCATTTCACAAAGCCCATCGAAAAACAGAGGCAGATAGTGATGGTAGTCCAGTTTCTCAATCTCCACCTGAGAAGGCACACAGAAGAAACAAACTGAATGAGGGTGACTGATATACTTTATGTAGGGTGACCAGATGTCCTGATTTTATAGGGACAGTCTCGATATTCAGGGCTTTGTCTTATATAGGCACCTATTACCTTCCTCCCCCGTCCCTATTTTTCACACTCTCTATCTGGTCACCTTAACCTCATGCCACATTCACAAAGAGTTTTAATATGCAATAATAAAGTCAGTGTGTCACAGTAGGATATCACCATCTCTCAAGTATGGCGTTTGGCATGATGGCTGAAATTCTTAAGTCCTTAACCACTAGATCTAAAGTGGAGAGCTAAGAAGAACATGCTCCTGGACTTCTTTTTGGTACTGTTGCCAATAAAAACAAACAAACAATCTTTTGTCAGTCTTTTCCAGACTCTCATAAAATGCATGTGTCTAAAACCAGTATGTGAGTACTCTAGTAAAGTTAGGACCACATTCCATTATCTTTGCTCATGGTAAATAGGAGCTTACAGTATGCATAGTTCCACTGATTCCAGTGGCACTACTTATAGAAAAAAGTACTACTTAGTTTGAGCAACAGTGGCAAAATCTGGCCTTAATATATTGAGATACAAAATGGATCAAATAAAATCTGTCTGACCAACAAAAAAATCATAACTTTATAGGAATGCAATATATGTATGGTTTACAGTTCCCTTGAATATAGTCCTCATTTTTAATTAGTAAATGATTAAGAGCAATAACACAGGTTAAGAGAAAATTATTGAGGAATCCTACCCATTTCTGTTGTCCTTCTGTGTCTAAAGTTTGAGAGTATCCTGATGGAGCAATAACCTTACCACCTGTGGTCTTTTTAGAAGGAGGTGGTGTCCTCTAAAATAATGAGACTTTTCTGCCTTTTATTTCTGTCACCCCCTCAGAGGCCTGGTATTGCAGACTTTCTCTAGCCAAAGGGGACCAGGCTAGAGGCTACTTCCCCAGATCTGTTAATGCCATTCTGAGCATAGATAAGAAAGCTGCTTCATCACTGATGCACTTGCTCTCCCCAGAAATGGAGTGTATTGCCTTCAAAGTGCTCCTCGGTCCTACTGGCTCATGAAACAACAGACTGAGCTTAGGGCTATGTGTTATTTTTACATATTAAATAGTTGTCATTTCTCTGCTAACAGCTTCCAAAACTGATATCAGGAGTGGAATTTCTATTTTGACAGAGTTTTTAAACAGAATATTTATCTACAGTTGTTTGCAGCGTTGTTGTAGCCGTGTTGGTCCCAGGATATGAGAGATACAAGGTAGGTGAGGTAGTATCTTTTATTGGACCAACCTGAGCTACACAGAGGGTAAAATCTGAGCTGCACAGAGCTCAGACACGGATTCCCTTCTCCAGACCTGAAGAAGAGTGTCTGAGTTCTGTGTACCATGAAAGGTTGTACTTTCCACCATCAGAAGTTGGTCCAATAAAAGGACAACCTACCTTGTCTCTGTCTAGAGGACATACATCATAATCAACTCTGAATATCTCTACTACAGCAGGTTTCAGAGTAACAGCCGTGTTAGTCTGTATTCGCAAAAAGAAAAGGAGTACTTGTGGCACCTTAGAGACTAACCAATTTATTTGAGCATGAGCTTTCGTGAGCTACAGCTCACTTCATCGGATGCATACCATGGAAACTGCAGCAGACTTTATATACACACAAAGAATGGATGAGCTATTACCAGCAGGATAGTGAGTTTGTGTGTGTGGTTTTTGGGAGGGGGGTGAAGGGGTGAGAGAACCTGGATTTGTGCAGGAAATGGCCCAACTTGATTATCATGCACATTGTGTAGAGAGTTGTCACTTTGGATGGGCTATCACCAGCAGGAGAGTGAATTTGTGTGTGGGGGTGGAGGGTGAGAAAACCTGGATTTGTGCTGGAAATGGCCCAACTTGATGATCACTTTAGATAAGCTATTACCAGCAGGACAGTGGGGTGGGAGGAGGTATTGTTTCATATTCTCTATGTGTATATAAAGTCTGCTGCAGTTTCCATGGTATGCATCCGATGAAGTGAGCTGTAGCTCACGAAAGCTCATGCTCAAATAAATTGGTTAGTCTCTAAGGTGCCACAAGTACTCCTTTTCTTTCTACTACAGCAGAAACAGAAAACATTTAAATTAAAAAATGATGGACGCTGGCTTTGTTTCTTAAGGACATCCATACTGCTACTAAACAGTGCTTGTGAGCTGGCAAAAATAACTTGCTCACCCAGTCCCTGACAACAGAAACCAATAGGAACAGTAAATACAGGCTCCAGGTGCGAGATCCAACTCAGCAACCAAACTAGCCACTACAGAAGGAACTATTGGGATATATGGTAAGAAATGGTGGTGTGAGCAGAAAGCCTTCAAGGTTCAGAGATGGTAGGTATTGGGAAATGACTAACAAGAGGCAGAACAATCCTGTCATCTGTCTAGGGGGCAAGGAATATCCACCTTTACTTTCTTACTAGACATCTTTAATTTTGTGTTTTCTGAAGTGGATGTATTAGTTGGTCATTTTTAATACTGGTTGTTATATTTTCATTGCATTATATTTTTAAAAAAATGTACAATAGCTACTTGAGCCAATGGTACTGGCCGCTGCCATAAATAAAACATTTTGTGACCCTGATCCAAGTCATATAATTAGCCTCTCGGAAGCACTCCAGTTCGTGTTACCTCTACACACTACAGTTACATCAGAAGTATATTTCAGCCTTGAGCAGAATATGATTTCTAGGTTTAATAAAATACAGCATATGACTTTTGATAAGGATTACAAAACTTCTTCAAAATCACGAACAACAGGATGTATAGATATATCTCTATCTATGAAGGAGAGATTAGTTGACTGTGATCTTCACTCCTAGTTGGCTCTCAACCTCTCAGTGGCTTAGCTTAGTACCACTTCAGCTGACCAAGTGTACAGCCAATATTTCTTGATTTTGCAGACTTGAATGTCCTCCTACAATATGGAAGCCAGAAATATTTTTGCATTAAATTCTGTGGTGTGAAACCTTTTGCTTTTGTGTTTATTGTTTAGCTTTGAAAAGTGGCTATTATACATATGTACTGAGAAAAATGCAAATTTTTTGTTTATGCTCAAAAAATCCTTTTTCTTTTTGCTTCCACCCACAAAAATATTCTGAGTTAAAGCTGCAATTCTTGGCTGAACATGCTCAAAAACTGCCAAGACGTTGCAATTTTGGGTTTTATGAAGAATCCTCAATAGTTGTTATAAACTTTTTATATACTGGTGGCAGTGTATAATTGTAAGATCTGGTGGCACTGTATAAATTGTAAGATCTGGATAGAAATAGATTCCAGTGGCAACCTTACCTCTGAATATTCTAAGTTTAGGTCAGGCCTTTAATGGTATTTTAATATATTCCAATAAAGAGTGATCACAGTTTATAAACATCTGTATTAAAAACCTGCAAATGTTTCATGGAAGATAGATGATGCTTGGACTATTTTACAAATTTAAGCTTTAAAGGAAAAATTCCAAATGAGACAAAAACAATGTAACTAGTTAAAAAAACAGCTTCTTGGCTCTTCTGTCCATTAAATAAGGAAAGCAAGGCAGTTGGACAGAACTCAAGGGACAGAGGTTTGATAATGAAGACCCGAATTGATAAATAAATCATGGGAGTTCTTCAATCCGTCATACTTAAATTTTATACACTACAAAGCAACCCTGGCATTTAGAAGCTACTGTTTCAGACACACAAACAAGTAGGGCTTACATTCCCATATAGTTTCATAAAAATCGATCTCAACTGATTACTTAATGTAATATGTTTTTAGATAACATTGCCTACAAGTTGGATCTGATTTCCTGGAGACATCATATTCAATGGTGTAGTAATTTTAATTGCAAGAGGATGTGCTATATTTTAAGTGCACTTCAATGAATGTCTTCATCCAAGCATTGCAAGCACTGGGACGCTGGTCTGAAATGGAATAACACCTTTTAAACTCTATTGTTTATTCAGCAATTGCCAGAGTAGACAAAGTTCTAAACTCTACAAAAAACCCCACAACATTTAACAACCAGACTATGCAACGCATGATAAAAATGAACAAGCTTCAACAGAGAAATCTAAAACTCCCTAAACTATCTACAAGTGGTCAGGCATGTATTCCACAAGTGTTCAGGTTGGCCAAAAATAGAGATAATGAGGAAGTGGGTTTGTTATATCCCTGGTTTTGGTCATTTGATCAGATGGATGTGTGTGCACACTGCTATTAGTTAAGCACTCTGAAAAGGGTCTGTCAGGGACCTTATAGTGCAGATCTGTGGAATCATACACTGTACCTGCCTGTGGTCATACCTGTATGCCAGTGCCAACTATATCATCCAGCCTATTACATCATTTATACCATAGTTATCAATTTTTCTTTATATTCGTTTTGGTAAAATATAGGCAAGAAAAGTGTAATGATGCTCTTTTCTGCTATTGCCCCCCCCGCCCCTTTTTTATTGTACTTTTCCCTCCAGCTCCCTCTAGGATTCCCCTAAATAGTAGTGATAGTGCTTGTGTGAGAGAGAGAGAGATACATGGGCAAACAGGAGATGAGGATAAGGGTCAGTAAAGATTTACAAAGAACATACTTTATGATAGATGGAGGGTCTGGAAGATTTAGCACCTCTCATCTGTCAGCTCAGAGCTTGGAAGGAGATTCTGTAAGGCCTTGCCATTTATCCAGTTACAAAACCTAAAAGTAATCTCTTACACTATATATAAAACAAACCACAATCTAGGATGTTATCTGAGTTTATTAAAAATCTGCCCCTTTTAATTAAAAAAAATGCTGATTTTCACCAAACAGTTAAAAGGAAGACCAACAAAATAATTAAGGGATTATGAATCTCTGCCACTGGTACAGCTTTATTAATAATGCCATTTAAAAAAGTATGTGGGGCTTCCAGAACTTTGGGGTCACTGACCTGAAAATCCTTCTTTATGTTCATGCTCCCAATGCAG